GATTTTTTACAGAGAGGAAGAGAGAGAGATAGAGAGTTAGAAACATTGATGAGAGAAACATTGATCAGCTGCTTCCTGCACACTCCCCACTGGAGGTGTGCCCGCAACCAAGATACATGCCCTTGACTGGAATCGAACCTGGGACTCTTGAGTCCGCAGGCCGACGCTCTATCCACTGAGCCAAACCGGTCAGGGCGGTTTCAGATCTTTTCTGATTGTGAAGTCTAAGGCCCACATCCCATCTATTGTACAGCCGAGCTGTGGGGTCTGGGGCATTTCTTTTAATCAAACTTATTCATCAATTTTTTTCAACAGAACATATAAATGCTCATACCAGGGAGTGAAATGAAGACCAAAAATAGCTTCTCCTTAGTTCAGGTCATTTTGGCACCACATAATTTGACACCAAACCTAGGTGAAACTTTCTGGCCTCCTAAGCTTTTAGGACTTCAACCTTGTAGAGAAGGGCTAGTGGGTCTGGAGTATTTGTCTGATGGGGCTGGCGTGTGGATAAAACGAGTTAGTACTCACAAGGCACTTAGAGCCAGGCCTGGCACAGAGTGAGTGTGCAATGCTCAAGGTCCTCCCATGGCTCCCCAATGCTCAAGGTCCTCCCATGGCTCCCCTGTCCTCAGGGTAATGTGCAGTCAATTTCACATGAGGCCCTTCATGACTGGAGTCCTGTCTCCAGCCTCAGGTCTTCCTCTGCCCTGCACATCCTACACTTTAGCTTTGATATCTCTTTTCAGTTTCTCAGATACACTGGGCTCTCTCTCTGCAGGCTGGTGCACTTGCTGTGTCTTCTGCCTGAAATGCTCCCCTTCCCAATCCCCTTTTCTTCCTTCCTTCCTTCCTTCCTTCCTTCCTTCCTTCCTCCCTTCCTCCCTTCCTTCCTTCCTTCCTTCCTCCCTTCCTCCCTTCCTCCTCCCTTCCTCCCCAGAGAGGAAGAGAGAGGGAGAGATAGAAACATCAATGATGAGAGGGAATCATTGATTCCCTGCTTCCTGCACGCCCTCCACTGGGGATTGAGCCCGAAACCTGGGCTTGTGCCACGACTAGCAATCGAACCGTGACCTCCTGGTTCATAGGTTGATGTTCAACCACTGGCCATGCTGGCAGAGCCCAACCCCCTTTTCTTAATTGTTTCTTCCTATAGGTTCCAAAGCTCTCACCTAAGCACAAATCACATGCTGCGAAAGTTGCTGGTCTCCTCCGCAACTTTCTGGGAAAGCAGTAGCCACATGCACAACTGTCTCTGGCATACAGCTGGCGTTGAATGAATGAGCATCCTCACCCGTCAATGGCATTGTCATTAGCTCAGGGACTGAATATGTGTTTGTTGAATGAAACACAAGTCTGGAAGGAAGACCCCACCCCCCATATGCATCCCAGGAGAAGATTCTTGGAATGTTCTCTCCCTCCCTCCTCCCCTTCTTCCCTCCTTCCCTTCTTTCCTCTCCAAATTCCTTAAGTGATTTTTAAACAGGGACCCAGTCCATGCAGGGGGCCAGTGAGGCCTCCAGGATTGCAGGGCCTGGGGGAGGTGGAATGAGTACATTAGGCAGAAACCACTTGTTCAGGGTTAGTAGAGGCCTCTGGGGCCTGGGGAGCAGGGGGTGGGATGAAGGCGGCCTCTGGAATCCTGGACAATTGCTATAAAATAAACTCCATAATCAGGTAAATGCGCTCGTGTGGGGGATGGTTCCCCTGCAGCTGTGGGCATCCTCCCGGCCGGAGGGGACCTGTCTAATCTCAGGGTAATGAGAACGTGGGTCCAATTACGACGGAGGGCCGAGGCCTAGGCCGGGCCGGAGTGGGGGAGCTGGGCCCCTGGCAGCGGAATTAGAACATTTAAGCTGTCAGGCCGAATCCGGGACAGGCCTGATTACCTGGTCCACTGAGGGGCCGCTTTGGTTTGGTGTCGACTATAATTTCCTGGCCGCCAGCCGTGAAGCCAGGGGCCACCTTCTCTCCTGTGTGATGGGGGTCTACGCCCTGCCTCTCTGACCTCCACCCCCCCAGACCCACCCAGGGGGGCTCCGCTGGGCCTCCCAAGGTGTCTGTGTGGGACAGGAAGCGGAACAGGTACATTAGTGTGTGTGATCCGTGGACACAGGTTAAGGCCGTGTGTGAATGACACGTGCACAGGAAGTGGATACGGCACACGTGGTATGGATACCCTGGGTATGTGTCAGTGATACAAGACACATGTCCCCGTGGATTATGTGCCGCAGAACCAGCAATGGGGTGTGTGGGGGATTCATGCACATGGACTCTATGTACAGGATACCTGTGTGTGGACAAGTGCACAGAGCAGGGCCGCATGTACATAGGTTATATGCGGTGTGTGCTCACAGTTGTGTGTCCTGGTCTGTAAATGCCATGAAAGCAGGGATCAAGTCCACCTTGCGGACTGCTGACCCCCCAGCACCTGTCTGGTGGATAGGTGCTGATTGCATAAATGCTGAGAGAATTCATATCTGTATGAAATGGGAGCTATGTGATGCATGTATTAAAGGTAAGAGTGTATGGAGTTGCCATGGAACGGGCTGGTGTGTGCGCGCGCACGCACGTTACTTGTCCTCGTTGCGTGACATGGGGGCATGAGCAGTGGAATGCTTCAAGGATCTGAACTATGTGAGCTTGAGGCCTGCCTCCTCCACTTAGACTGTGTGATCTCAGACAAATCATTTAGCCTCTCTGAGCCTGACTTTTCTCAGCTGTGAAATGGATTATAATAAGACTCACAGCTAGCATTCATTGAGCTCTTACTATGCGCCATTGCTGCACTATCTAGGCTTCTCAGGCATGATGGTCGTACTGACTTTTCACAATAACCCTCGTACTAAGTATGGCTACTGCCCCACTTTGCAGGCGGAGAGGCCGACGCTCTCAGATGTTAGAGACGGTGAAGCCAGGGCCCAAACATGGGCAACCTGACTGCAAGGTGAGCTTTTACTGCCAGGATAGTAGACAGTGCCTATTGCATAGGGTTGTCCTAAGGATTGACCATGACCATACAAGTAAAGCACTTAGTGCTGCCTCTTGTCATGTAGTAAGCGCTGTGAATGTTACTATATTATTCGCACAACACGTGTGTACGGGATGTGTAAAACAGGTGCAAAGACTGTGTGGGAAATGTGCATGTAGTATATCTGAGTAAGAGAGTCCATATGTAGGTGTATTTGTGGGTGTGTATAGTATATGCCATCCATTCAAACAAGGTTTATGATACATGTACTTGCATATATGCACGTGATATATTTCACACAATGAACACAAGATGTGTAAATAGTGTATTATGAAATTGACAAGTAGCTTATGAAATGAGAAAAAATGCATACTTGAAGTGTGGGATATATAAACCTACATTGGCTCTGTCCTTATGCATTGAGGAATATATGCAAATGAGGTGGTCACAGATATCTGAGGTGCAGGCGTGGTCACAAATGTGCACATTTGTGTGTGCACAGAAGTGACACAAACAGATATAGATATGCACAGAGTGTATATGCACAGATATACATACCACCCGTATGCAATGCATTGTATGTGGTCTGGCATGGGCACATGTATGCAAAGTGCTTATGCACAGGTAGAAAGAGAGGCACTCCGACAGACACGCTGTGTTTGCGTAATGCACGCACTTGAGGGCAGACTGTAGTCTTTTATATTGATTTTTTACAGAGAGGAAGGGAGAGGGATAGAGAGTGTAGTCTTTTTTAGATGTATATATTTGTGATTCATGTTCTGTGTCTCTGCTTAAATGTCGCCTTCTCAGTTAAAATACCCATAACCACCCTATTGAGAACAGACCCAGTTTCCCATGCCAGGCCCTTCTTTATTTTCTCTCCCCGCAAAAAATACTATCCCTTTTAAATATACTATACAATTCAGTCGTTTATGATGTTCATTGCTTTCTCCCTGGAATGTAAGTTCAGGGAACCAAGGACTTATCTCAGGTTTGTTCCCGGCGGAATCCCCCAGCACAGGACCCGGCACCTGAGAGATGCCCACGCACAATCTGTGGAGTCGACAAGTGGATGTCTGCGCGCCTGCAATGCAGCTGCAGGGGCCGATGCGGGCGGGCGCTGG